CCAATCGCGCTGATGACTACGGTGTACAACTCGTAGTCGACAGAAAAATGGGATCCCAGAGTAGAAAACCAAGCTGCCCACGGTAAAGCCACACGCGCAGCACGCAGACAGAGGAGAAAAGGACTGATGCCGACGGTATAGCCACACACGCAGCACGTAGACAACCGCCAAGAGGAAGAGGTAGAAGCTCTGAACGAAACAGAAGCCGGGGCTACTGTGGGGCGACGGCCCTCCATCGTGTTTTGCGCTCCCTGGGGGCCTGGTGGTTCGGGTGGCCCTTTGCCGCGTGGTGCCCCCTGTTCACTCCGCCGCCCCGACCCCGTTGCAGCTGCCACGGCCGAGGCCAGTCGACGTCGAGGTCCAGCGCGTCGCATAGGACCCGTACGTCGCACTTGTGGCCGCGGAAGGACTCCAGGAAGCGGCGGCAGGTCTGCGGGTCGTGCCGGAGCGGGTCGAGCGCGCCCTTGCGGCCGGGCACTCGCTGCTGCTTGGCGAAGGCGTGCCAGGTGCCCGTGAACACCGGCCCCAGTGTGACTTGGAGTCGGCACATCGTCTCGCCAGGTGTCTCCCCGCGGAGGTCCCACTGCATGTTGTTGATTCCTGTTTTGTACAGTTGATGTCCAGCGTCGGGGTCCCTGGGCTCTGGCCGCTGACGCGGGTCGGGCCTCTGGTGTCGCCGAATCTCCTGGCTGCAAGCCTCCACCGTACGGGCCTCGTTGTCCTGGCTGGGGGGATCGAGATCTGCTCGGGGCAGCTCCAGCTGCTCGCCTGGCGGGGTTTGGCGGGGAAGCGCAGGCCGCACGGTTGGCCGCCAGGCTGGGGTCGGGTCGCGTCGGGCGGCCAGGGCAGACGCAGCATTGTGGCACGCGGGGAGGGGCCCTTTTCGCTGGCGCTCGCCTCCGGGTCCGTGTCCGCCGTCGCTCCCAGGTGCGCCCCCTTTGGGCAGCGCGGGACTCACACCGGCCTCTGGGGCGCCATTGGCGGTGCCGGGCACGAGCACACACGGCGCCACAGCGCCCTTAGCCGGGGCGCAAGCTGCTTCGCCAACGGCGCCCTGGACGCCTGGCAAGGGCGTCTGGGGCGCGTGGTCCATAAAAAACTAAGAGGCTCACTGACGGGGGAAGGGGGGCTAATAGGCGCGAAGAGGTTTCTGCCGGCGAGCCAGCGGATGGCTTCGCTATCCCGAGTCTGGGCGGTTGCTACCTGGCCCCCCTGCAGGGCGCGTGGCTCTCCCAGAGGACTGCTGCCGGACTGATTGTTCTGAAGGGGGGTACTCCGCGGCTTCCGCCGCCTCCGCGGTTTCCGCCGCGTTTTCCCGCTCCTTGCCTCTGGCCTGCTGGTACAGCTGAAGGGGGGGGGTCGTTAGTGTGAGCTGTACACTGGTCACCGCGGGCTGCCTCGTCTCGGTTCCCCGCAGGGACGTCATCGTCTGACCACGCCGCGGGGGGTGGTATCGTGACCCCTGCCTCCACCACATCTCGTTTCCCCTCTGGGACGTCATCGTCTGTGGACGAAACGGGGGGTGGCACGTTGCCGCTGCTGCTGTTGCTATGCTCCGATGTGTCACTGTGCGTAGCAGGATCCTCAGGATGGTCGTCTGTCGTCGTAACGGGGCGCTGAGGTGATCCACACTCATGACGGCCGTCGGGGCCGGGGCTGGGGCTCGAGACACCACGATTTGCATCTGACCGAACGGGCCCCCTTTCACTTCTGGGATTCGGTAATATCGAAACCGCGCCCCCTTCCGGCTTAACGGGCCCCGTTTCTGTCATGGCAGGATCCTCCGGACGGTCGTCAGTCGTCCTGTTCACCAGGGCGGGAGCCGCCTCGAAATTCTGGGTTCCTGATCTCGTGACGGGGAGAGTAAAGGGAGGAGGAGGGCCGCCCTCCAATTCCTGGAGGAGCATGCCGATGACCGCGACGCTGGCCGTCAGCATCTTCCAGTCGAAGTCGCCCGCCGAGACGTCGGTGCCAGCAGACTGCTCCTGGAACAGCTCGCAAAGCGCACAGTCGGCCACGACTTGTCCCAAGCCTGCGGCGGGGACTTCGGAGATGGAGCTGAGGTTCGCCATCATGGCCAGGCGGCACTTCGCGATCTCGGCATTCAACCTGCGCTGCCTGACCGTGGCGTCAGTGCTGAAGAGACCGATAGGCCTCCATCCGAGCTCGCCAGGCTTCCTGCTAGGTTCCGAGTTGTGCCCGAACGGGCCCGACTCGCAGTAGAGGCGGTGCGCCGCGATCTGCAGCCAGCCGGGTCCTGACACCTTGGAAAGGGCAGCCATCCCGATCGGGATGTCCTCGAACTTCACCTCGAGAGACGGGGGCGTCTCGCCAGGAAAGTTGCCAGTAACCCCGGGCGTGATGTAGCCCATCGTGGCGAGCATGCTCACGCGCCCATGCTTGATCTCTGCCTCGCGGCACCTCTTGAAGGCCGCGGCGCCACCGTCCTTCGTGAAGCCTGCGGGGGCTCAGAAGTCCACTGGCGCCTGCACGCCCAGATCGCACTCGGAGGCGTGCAGCGGAGAGTCCGTGTACAGCGCCCAGTCGCCCCACGCGCTGTCCGAGAGGCCGTCCTGGTAGAACATCCGTTGAAGGTGTGTTGCACAGGCCTACGTGGCCAACACCTGAAGGGCCGAAAAAATCGCAAGCCCCAGGCCACGGGCCCCTCGGTGAGCAAAGCCCCGTTCCGGGGGCCGCCAGTCCCTGAGGGGCAACTCCTGTGCCCCCCAGGCTTTGCTCGTCACGGGCGCCATGAAGAGGTGCAAGTTGCCCACAAAAATGCAGAACAGCAAGCCGTAGAGCACGAAGCAGAAGAAGGACAGGTAATATCGTAGAACGTGTACAAGTACTAGTACAGACCAGCGAACATCCAAAGCAAAGCAAGAGTGTACTCCTCGTGGGACGCTGTCGAGATTCCGAAACAAATCGTGATACTGCCAAGGATCACGCAAAAGTGCACCAGGCGAACGTGCACTAGAAGGACTCCGGAGACAATGGCTCGGACCGCGGCGTGAGCCTGCGCGAGCGCGCTCGGCGGAGCAGTTCCCCCACGACACATGATCAGTACAAGGGCCCGTAAGCCAACATGCTCTCGATCCCCGTGAGACACCAGTAGATGCCACTCTGATTGCCACCAGACAAGGCCACACCACCTCATGTGAGCCCTCGCGAAAGCCGAAGCCAGAAGAAGAGGAAGAGGAAGTCCAACACCCGCCAACAGCCACAGTCTAGCCTGCCACCAAGCACTCCGCGTGCATGTGCACCTCAAGAAACGTCGTGCCCCAAGAACTGAAAGAACAAAATGAATTACCACACCCCTCCACTTGTCGAAGTAAGTGCTGTCGAAGAAAAATGCATCGTGCCGACGTAAAGCACGTGCCCCGTGACGAACACGAGCCAGCCCAGGCAATGAGAACAGGAATGAAGGCTCGTGTCTGGAGCGGCCTACGTCAGTCAAGCCCTCCACACTAGGGAAATTGTTTGGTGCAGCCGAAACCGCACAGGACGACGCAACCACCCTAGGAATTACTTGCGCCACCCTGAATAGTACAAATTTTGCCGTCATGTCCACTATAGGCGCCACCCGGAGTAACCGCCCACACCTGACTCATTCATGAACTCCAGACAAGACGTCACCCCTCCCCGGCTGCCATACGAAATGGTCGGAGCCAAAGTACCGCAGGGAGTGGTAGAACATCCCGATGAACGCCATCATCGCCAGCCTTCCGCTCGCGGTCTCGGCGTTCAGCTCGCGGGACTTGGTCTCGCCGGCCGGCATGGTGCTGCCGTTGGGCACGCCCAGGACGCCACCCTTCTCGTAGTCGCCGGGAGCCCCCGAGGGGGCGTGCAGAAGCCCACCAGCGCCAGCCCGCCCAGCTCGCTCACGAAGGCGTGCGGCGGGGAGTCCAGGGAGGCCAGCAGCGGCGGCCGCGGAAGGCGCCTCCGCAGGCGCGGCGGGACCGGCGGCCGCCGCCAGCCAGCCGCCGCTCCCAGCGTCACGAGCAGCGGCCGCCGCCAGCGGCCCGCCAGAGGCGGCCGCGGCGGCGGCGGCAGCAGTAGCGGCCGCGGCGGGCGCCACGGCGGGCGCGGCGGCGCCCGCGGCCGCGGCGGCCACAGCGGCGGCCGCCGCACCCGCGGCGGCCGCGGCCGCCGGGCAGGCTCCAGCGCAGCAGCGCGCGCCACGGCGCCGGCGGCCGCGGCGGCCTCGCCGCGGCCGGCCGCCGCCACGGCCACGGCGGCCCGGCGGCGGCGGCGGCCGCGGCGAGCGCACCGGCGGGCGGGCCACCTCCGCCAGCCGCCGCCGCGGGCGCAGCGGCGGCGGCGGCGGCCAGCCGCGGCGGCCCGCGGGCGGCAGCGGCAACCCGCTGCCGCCGCCGCAGGGCAGCGCCGGTGACGGCGCTGGCGGCGGCAGCGGCCCGGCACGGAGCGCACCTAGCGGGGGGGGGCTCGAGCCGATACGGCTTGAGCCAAGGGGCTACGGACACGCAAAGCGTCAGGAATTCACTAAATTCGTGGTTTGGGGAGGTGATAATATTCGATGCTGCACTCCAGAGGACCCGAGATACCCCCAAGACGTCCACGACAGGTCCCTAGGAGACTTCCAAGAGCCCCCAAAGATGCATCCCAAGAGAAACCGAGAAGCCTCTGAGAGGCCTCGTCCACGACACAGGCGCCGCGGCGGGCTGGGCCGAAGGCCACCATCACTTGAAACATCATCATACGCGCACGAAACTATCCGCAACTGTGCCTGCGGTGCGAGGTGGAGCGTCCAAAGGCTCACGCAGTCTAGAGCGGTAAAGGATTTGAACAATTCTGCACGGCCCTGCGTTCTTGGTCCGACGTGAGCTCTGAACTGCGCTCCCGCGGAGGCCCCCGGGCTGTGCCCGGGCGAGCAGCATCCGTCCGCGTACCTCTGGAACCCTGAAGCCAAGCCCCAGCATTCGTTCAAGAGCTCGTGAAGCAGTTGCCCTCCCGCGGGGCCGCAAGGAGAAAGACGGGTCCTCCACCCGCGCCACATGCACTCCCGCGAGAATAGAGGCGGCCTCATGGCGGCTCGCCCGCTGAAGGAGGAGGAGGAGGAGGAGGAGGAGGAGGAGGAGCAGAAGCGAGGATGGAGCCTGTGCGGGGCACCTCCCCCCAGGACTGCTACCCCTCCCCTTTCCTCCGTGCGCCGACTGCCCCACCGCTCCCGCATTCCGCCTCCGGCATCTCCCTTCCCTTTCCGCTTCCCGCTCCCCCCCCCTCAATCCTCCTATCCACCCCGACTCCTGCTGGTCATCCTCACCCGTGGTTCTCTCCTCCCCTTCCTCACCCTCATCCTCCGGCTCCCGCTCCCACCCCTTGCACCACTCCCCCTCCGTGCTCCGCTTATTCACCCTTCTCCCTGCTCCTCCCCTCCCCCCCTCTTCCCTCGTGTGTGGGGGGGTGACTTTTACAAAGCTGCGCCCGACCAAACGGCATGTATGCCCTGGGTAAGCCTGGAAGCATGAGTAGGTTGGCTCCCCAGACAGCGCGCGTGATTATATGTGGTGACGTTAACCCGGCCGGCCGTCGGTGACATTCTGGAGGCCCCCGGAGGACTTTCAAGTTCACTGGCCGATTCCGTGATACCATGTCGTGTTTTCCCCCAGGCCCCGTAGGCCGATTGTGTCCCAGACGACCCAGAGGGACCATTTTGGGTGAATTGTGTTCGTGGGGATGGAGATTCCCACAGCTGGAGTCGTCTGCAGCTCTGGGCGTGACGGTCTGGACGCCAGTCAGCAGACGTAGGACTGAGAGACAGAAGAGCGAGCTTACAGCATGGAGTGATAGGGGCAACTGCGAGACTGGTGCGACCCTCGCCCGCCTCCCACGGGTTCTGGTGCCCAGGTTGAGCAACCCCGCCTCCTGGGCTTCAGCTTCCGCGAAGCGAGCTCTGGAGCCACGATAGCTCAAGACGAGGAAAACTATCATTTCCTCTCTCCCCTCATGCCTCGCCCTCGGAACCACCCGGGCGGTAGGAGCGCGGCCTCTCGGGATAGATTCTGGGATACGCGCCTCGTTCTGACCATAGAGCGGCTCCTGAGGGCTGCTTTGGGCCTCCCAGAGAGGGCCCGAGTGATCCAGCTAATACCTCGAGAGGTGGTTGTGCTGGCCCTGGAAGGCATCATCGAGTCGGAGGTTGTGTCTGAAATAAATGCAGATGAGTAGTCATATGTATTTTGCGCACCTTTTCGTGGACTAGCAGACACTGTGGTTCACAAGTCCCTTCCCGTTCCCCCCTCATCCGTTGTCCACCTCACACGATTCGTCCTTCTTCCCGTCACCATCCTTCCCATCCACCTTCTGATCCTTTGAATCATCCTCCTCTTTATCCACACCTCCTCCTCCTCCTCCTCCTCCTCCTCCTCCTCCTCCTCCGTTTTCTCTTCCGCCTCCTCCTCGTATACCGAATCGCCTACCGCAACAGTCCCCACCAGGCCCAAATTTCCTGATAATTCCGCTACGCCGCATCATCCAACACTGAATGGGACCAAGAAGCACTACCTCACAGACAGGTCTAACGCTGTGCGCCTACATATGTAACATCGTAACTGCGCGCCCAGGGCACTGTTGGCCATAGACCAACCTCTCTCGTCTATTCTTGAAGCTCAACGTTGGTGCAGTGCGCACCGAGCCTAACGACCGAAACCTACAGACCAAAGAGATGAATTTCAGAACGCATCCGTAGAGGACAATGATACCAAATCGTAATAATCCACATCGTGCGTACGCTACGCTAAGCGAATATTAAGGCTCAGGCGACTTAATCTCCGTGCCATCTCGACCTCACCCAGAGACAAGCTTGTTACAACCATGTCAAACCGTTCAAATATCAGCGCGCGTAGCGGGCGATCACTGCGAAGAAGCGGGTCATCTCTACTGACGAAGTACAAGCTGATGCTTTGAAGCCTGTGTTTCGGTACTGCCCGTCCGAAGGACGACGAACAAAAGAACGACGACGACAACCGTAGACGCAGCGCTGGCGGCGGCGGCCACGTCGACGGCGATGGCGACTTCGGTGGCCCCGGCGACGAGCGCCCCCCCCCCCGAGCTCGGCCGAGGCTGGATGAGGGGTTGGAGTACAATGTGGGACCTTCCCGAAAACAGGAACATACCGTAGACGGATCTACCCTCTCTCCGACCTGGCACCACGCCGAACGCAACGGCCACGTTGTCCACGGACGAATCCACCCCTTCCCTCCAGATGAGGGGGAACGCTCGACGGGGAGACATCGACGAATCGGCGACACGACGCCGATCGCTCGGCGATAGGCGCCCGATAGCGAATCCACGCGCTCCCAGGTGGGAAAAGGATCAGTGGGCGGCCTGCCGAACGCCAGCGAGGGGCCGCCTCCGCCACGAGGACGAGGAGGAGGAGGAGGAGGACGACGACGACGACGACGACGAGGGGAAGGAGGAGGGCGAGGAGGAGAAGGAGGGGATGGAAGGAGGGCAGAGACGGGGACCAGACGCTGCAATCCACGCCAATCAAAATCCGATCAGCGTAGAAAGACAGGAGGAGGAGGAGGAGGAGGAGGAGGAGGAGGAGGGGGACGAGCAGGAGGAGAAGGAGGAGAAGGACGACGAGGAGGACGACGAAGAGGAGGAGGAGGAGGAGGAGGACGAGCAGACACCCGTGAGGGGCCGCCTCCGCCACGACCTCGAGCTCCGAGGCCGAGAGGCCCTGCAGGCACGCGCGCGCACCACCTGCGCCGCCGTCGGGCAACGGCTGCCCCCAACGCCTGCCGGCACGCGCCGCGGGCCTACCGCCACCGGCAAGCGGCCGTGGCAGACACCATAGGCAACCGGGCACCTCTCGGCGGGGAGAAGGTGGAGGAGGAGGAGGACGAGTAGGAGGAGTAGGAGGGTAACGAGGAAAGGAGGAGAAGGAGAAGGAGGAGGAGGAGGAGGACGAGGAGGAGGGACACATATATATATATATACACACACATACATACATACATACATACATACATACATACATACATACATACATACATACATACATACATACATACATACATACATACATACATACATACATGTCTATCTAAATATGTGTGCACATACAGATTGGACATGAATGTACTACGTACACACATGTGTCTACATATGCACATGCAAAAGACAATACCGTAGACAGGTACATATACAAATGCACATATACAGATGCGTAGATATATACATATACATGTACCCATACATGTACATATACAATATATATACAAGTGTATATACACATGCATATACATATGCACGTATACATAAATATGCACATAAACATATGGATATACACATGAATATACACACGAATATACATAAACCCATACATATACATATACATATACACATACATATACATATACATATACATATACATATACATATACATATACATATACATATACATATACATATACATATGCATATGCATATGCATATACATATACATATACATATACCTATACATATACATATACATATACATAGTCATATACATATACAAATACAAATACCTATACATGTACATGTACATGTACATGTACATGTACACATACATGAACATATACCTATACATATAAATAGACGTATACATATACATATGCACCAATACACAGATGAATATACGTATGGATACACATAAACATGTACATGTATATATGCATATACGCATACATATACACACGCGTGTACGTATACAAGTGCGCACATACACATTTACATATACGAATACAAATACATATACCTATACATGTACATGTACATGTACACATACATAAGAATGTACAAACCTGTATCTATATATTCAGAATGGTATACCGAACATTAATGTGTATACCTGCATGCCCATTTATGTTCATGTACATGTACATAAACTGTACACCGATATATGAGTATAGAAATACAAATGCATACACATATAAGTATACGCATAGACATACACATATACCCATACGTGTATGCGTATATATACACCTAAAACATATGTAACTATACATACGTTTACAGATACCTGTTCATAGGCATATACATATCCATAGACAAATCATACAAGCATACTATACATATACGCATAAATGTACAGATACAGATACGTATACGCATGCACATACATAGACAAGTACATGTGCATAGCTATGCATATGAATGCACATATACATATCCATGTATACTCTTGTAGAAACACACACGTAAACAGATATACAAACACGTACACATACGCGTATGCATAAACGTACACAAATAAATGTGCATGTATGTGTGTGTACTGATATGTAGAATGTTTATATAGGTGTGAAGACCCGCATAAACATATATATCTATATATAGTTATGTGATGATACATTACATGTAGTCATATATATATGTACATACATACACACATCTGTATATATATAGAGATATATACATGTATACATGTATACACATGTATACACATATCTATACGTAGACGTATAATCATAAATGTGTCTGCCGATCCAGCGTGTGAGTTTCAAAGAGCCTGAGCTACAGCCTACAGCCTGAGCCTCAGCCCTGCTGGGAGGGGGGCAGGGTGGCTCTGCTGGGCAAGGGGGGGGGAAGAGGTCCAATCCAAGCCAACTCGACTAATCCCGGCCAACTGGGTCCATTCCTGGCCGAGCTCAGAGCTCTTCAGAGCTCTTGAGACTGCATAAAACCTGAGAAGTGCGCTTTTAGAGCTCTTGAGAGCGCTTCTCAGATGAGAAGCCTATGAAGAGCTTCTGACGACGAGCTTCTGAAGAGCGTCTGACACGCTTCTGAAGAGCCTCTGAAGAGGCTCTGAAGAGCCTCTGGAGAGCCTCTGAAGAGCCTACGAAGAGCTTCTCAAGAGCCTCTGACGAGCTTCTGGAAGGCCTCTGAAGAGCCTCTGAAGAGCCTCTGAATAGCTTCTGGCGAGCCTCTGGAGAGCCTCTGAAGATGCTCTGCAGAGCCTCTGCAGAGCTTCTGGCGAGCCTGTGGAGAGCTTCTGAAAAGCATCCGAAGAGCTTCTGAAGAACCTGTGAAGGGCTTCTGAAGGGCATCTGACAATCTTCTGAAGAGCTTCTGGGGAATGTATGAAGGGCCTCTGGAGAGCCTCTGAAGAGCTTCTGAAGAGCCTCTGGAAAGCTTATGGAAGGCCTCTGGACGGCCTCTGGAGGGCTTCTGGAGGGCCTCTGGGGAGCTTTTGGAAGGCTTCTGAGGAGCTCTGGAAGGCCTCTGGGGAGCTTCTAGAAGGCATTTGGAAGGCCTCTGCGGCGCCATCTGGAGGGCCTCGGGTGAGCTGCTCGAAGGCATCTGAAGAGCATCTCTAGGGCCTTTGGAGGGCCTCTAACGGAGCTTCTAGAAGGCCTCTGCAGAGCTTCTGGAGGGCCTCTCAAGAGCCTCTAGAGGGCCTTTCAGGAGCCTCTGGAGGGCCTTTGAGGAATCCCTGGAGGCCATGTGCGGAGCCCCGTGAAAGTTTCTGGAGAGCCTTCAGATGCTTTTCAGAGGCTGACAGGGGAAGTTGTCAGATGATTCGCGCGTTGCCCCCACGTCGCCGTCGTCGTCGCCGACGCCGCCCCGACGACGGGGCGGAAAGGGGAGGCAGCGCGGAAATCCAGAGGAGGTCTGCTCGAGTTTTCGGCCTCTGGAGGTCGTCCCTGCCATGTGGCCCTGGGACAACCAAAAATCGGCTCGTGACGAAAAGCCCCACCTTGGGAAGTTGTCGGATGATTCTCGAGTTGTCCCCCGTCGTCCTCGTCGTGATCGTCGTCGTCGTCGTCGTCGCCGCCGCAGCCGCCGCCGCCGCCGCCACCGCCGCCACCGCCGCCGCCGACGACGGGTAGGGACGGGAGGCACCGCAGAAATCCACAAGAGGTTTCTCGGCGTTTTCGGCCTCCGGAGGTCGTCCCTGCAGCATGGCCCTGGGACAATCAAGCATCGAGTGAGGACGAAGAACCTCCCCTGGGAAGTTGTCGGATGATTTCCTCGCGTTGCGCCCCTCGTCGTAGTCGTCGTCGTCGCCGCCGTCGCCTCCGCCGCCGCCGCCCCCGTCGCCGCCGCACCGACGACGACTACGACCACGACCCCGACGACGACGACGACGACGACGACGACGACGACGACGACGACCACCATGACGACCACGTCGACGACGACGCAGCGGCCGCCGCCGCCGCCCCGCTGTCGTTATGGGTGTGGCGAAATGAGCCGGGGGGGCGCGAGCAAACTGTGCCACTGGGGCCTTGGGCGGAGATCCCCAAAGGGCCGCGAAACGCGCGAGGGGTGGGCTATTTCTGTGACTCCAGTTTTTCCGGGAAAGTGCGGGGGCCCAGGGTTCTCCTTTTGTAGGTTATTCATTCCGCCCAGAATCGACTTGAAGAAAGCCGGCGAAATTATTGTGTCAAATAACGAAGTCGAAGAGGGCCGGCGAATTAGAATTTGAGGAGGTCCCGAGCGAAACGCTGGTTTTTGAAATTCTGATCGATAAAACACAGGATGAAGTAAGCATTTTCGTTTGTTGCGGACATCTCGAGCGAAACGCTCGTTGTGCAGAATTTGTTGAGTATATCTCGAGCGAAAGGCTTTTCGGAGACTTCCAGGAACCTGGACGCTCAAGGATGCCCCAGGGGGCCCTGAGAGTGCGGACGCAGCGTAATTTACGAGGGAGAGCGGCTCTGGGAGCGTGGACGCAGCTTACTTTACCAGAGACCGTGGCCCTGGGAGCGCGGACGCTGCGTAGTTTACATGGGATCGTGGCCCAGGGAAGGCGAGCGGACGCAGCGTAATTTACAAGGGATCGTAGCCCTGGGAGCGCGGACGCAGCGTAATTTACCATGGATCGTGTCCCTGGGAGCGCGGACGCCATGTAATTTACAAGGGATCCTGGCCCTGGGGGGGCGGACACGATGTAATTCACAAGGGAACGTGGCCCTGGGAGCGCGGACACAGAGTAATTCACAAGGGGATCGCGGCCCTGGGAGCGCGGACGCAGCGTAGTTTATTAGGGATCGTGGCCCAGGGAGAGCGACGCAGCGTAATTTACGAGATGTCGTGGCCCGGAGAGCGCGGACGCAGCGTAAATTGCGATGGATCGTGTCCCTGGCAGCGCGGACGCATTGTAATTTACGAAGGATCCTGGCCCTGTGTCTGGGACGTCCCGCGGCACGTTCCCTGACGCGTTCCCTGGCACGTTCCCTTGGAACGTTCTGTGGCGCGTCCCGTGGCGAGTCCGCCTTGCACGTCGCGCGGCGCGTCCCATGGCACGTACCATGGCACGTCCGTTGGCACGTTCCGCAGCGCGTCCCCTTGGCACGTCCCGCGGTGTTTCCCCATGGCACATCCCCTGGCACGCCCCCTTGCGCGTCCCTTGGGACGTTCCGCAGCGCGTCCCCCTGGCATGTCCCCCTGTCAGTTAGCTCTAGGGCAGCTACTATGTGCTCGGGCAGCTCGAGTTTAAGATCCAGATCAGTTCGGTCAGGACTCGGACGTAAAGGGGGACTTGATCCACAACGATATAGAGCACAATCGCGGCATGCCACATCGCAAGTCAGCACGGCGCAACACAGCGCAGCCCTTGGCACAGTACGTCAGGGTCGATACACGCAGCCTTGCAACCTGGCACGTTCCCTGGCACGTTCCGTGTCGCGTCCCAGGGCGAGTCCCCGCGTCCTGTGGCACGTCCATGGGCACATTCCGTAGTGCGTCCCTTTGGCACGTCCCGCGGTGCGTCCCCATGGCACGTCCCCTGGCACGCCCCCTGGCGCGATCTTTGGGACGATCCGCGGCGCGTCCCCCTGGCATGTCCCCCTGTCAATTAGCTTTGGGGCAGCCACT